ATCAGGACCCCACCTTGATGTTTCGGGACCCCACTTTGGGTCCCGACCCCAGCTAACAACTAATGTCAGCGCTGCCTCTTCTACTGCAGCTGATGTCATCCCCTCTATCCATGTCCTGATACGGTTTCTCAGTAAACAGAGTGAAGATGATCAGGGGATCCAAACGATGAAAACCACTCTTCTGGATGCAGTCCGCAGACGTTTCAAGCACGTAGAATCTGAGCCTCTCTACACGGTGGCAACACTGCTGGATCCACGTTATAAAGACAAGTAAGGGAATTTATTTTAAATTGTTACATTTATTTTGCCTAACCTGGTGTGTATGAGAAAAACTGTACTGTTTATAATGAGTTTGTTTTAGCACATGTAATCGTGTTAAGACTGCATAAAATAAGATCAGGTGGCTTGTCATTTCAAGACAGTGAAATGAGTCCTGTCCACTTCAGTGATGTCAAACACATCAGCTCAGCAGCTCAGCATGCTGAAATGCTCATCTTCCTAAAAAAGAATCTGCATATCATGTTGGACTGCAGAAATCAGAGATGGAGCCATTGTTAGTTAACTGACTAACTTTAGTATTTGTTAAAAGAGTGATGTGTTTATTTTGTTCACTATTGTTTGAGTGAAGACTAAGCAGTTGTTCCCATCATATCAGCAGCACCAGGCTGGCTCTGACAGGAAAAAAATACTGAAGTGACCTTGAATTATTGTTTTGCACTTTAAAAATATATTATATTTTGTTGGATTTATTGAGAGTATTTTTCAGGGTCTTCTAATTTTATTTATTTTATTCAGTTGAAGAATTTTCTTATTGTTGAGTTTAAAATTGATTTAACCCATTGGTTAATAATAAATGGGTCAGTTTTTCTCATATCTGCTGTTGTTGAGTATTGTTTTCTGGTTGAATATCACTCGTTCAAGACTTTTCTTAGATTCCACATTACAAAATAAGTAATAAAAGTATATAATTTGTGCTGATATCGGTATCGGACAATCCTCAAGGCTGCAATATCGGTATTGTATCGGAAGTGAAAAATCTGTATCAGGACCCTCCTACTTTCTTTTCAACGTGCAGGAGCAACCAAACAAAGGTCCCTGTTCACCTGGATAACAGCTTTGTTTCTTATGCTCCACACTGCATTTTTATTCACCACAAGAAACACCGTAAACAATCATTGTTTTCAGAGCTCATTCTCCTTTCTTTAAACAAGGATTAAGAACCAGATTTGGTAAGTCAGAGTTAGAGGACTAAGGCCTTCAGCTGCCACCCAAGGGACTATGCAGCCGACAGTTAACAACCTGCCCTGCAGATGCATTAGAGCCAACGACACGGGCAGCTGCCCTCTGCACATCTGGAAAGGCATCTTTGCAGTATTTATTTATTTATTTATTTTTTTAGAAGAGACCTTGCTCGTTTCAGCAAGACGATGTTAAACTGGRCCTGTTACAGCAGCATGGCTTCAGAACAGCAGAACTCAACTGACCTGCCTGAAGTCCAGATGTTTCAGGGGATTCTGATGTTATCAGTCCATGAAATGGACATTATTAGGTGTTATCAGTCCAATACAATGGCTTCAGAATGTCCCAACTGTGCCTTCTAGTCTTCAGACTGTCTCGACAGTGCCCCCTAGTGGGTTAATATATCAATGACAATGAATGTGTAAACAAACAAAACACATTTTAATAAATTTTTTGTCCGTGCCTGGTGGCGATCAGTGTACTTGCTGTCCGAGTCAGACTCAAACCCCGGTCTCCCGCTCTGTGGTTCGACGCTCTACCCATTGCCCTATTGGAAGGCCACATTATACAACCGTTGGAGGGCGGTGTCTTTAGCGCTCACCATGACATTTTCTCTAAGGTTAACCTTAGTAGCTTTTTGCCTCATGCTAACCTGTTTTTTATTGCCTCACATTAACCAGATAGTGATTTTATGTCTCATATTAACCAGATAGTGGCTTTATGCCTCATATTAACCAGATAGTGGCTTTATGCCTCATATTAACCAGATAGTGGTTTTATGCCTCATATTAACTAACCAGATAGTGGTTTTATGTCTCATATTAACTAACCAGATAGTGGTTTTATGCCTCATATTAACTAACCAGATAGTGGTTTTAAGCCTCATATTAACCAGCTGACAATCTGAAGCCATTCTATGGGACGGGGGAACCTGCTAACCAGCACAGGCGGGACCTTCTGAAGCCATTCTATGGGACTGATAATGCCTAATAACGTCCATTTCATGGATGATAACATCCGAAGTGGGTGGATGTTTTTACTAGTTTAAAGCATTTCAAACATCATGAAACAAAAATCTTCAGAGTAGACCCAAGTCTGAAAAACAACTCTAATTCCACATCAGACCAGATTGGGACAAGATTCCCTCCAAACCCTGTAACAAACTGGTCTCAGTTCCTACATGTTTACAGACTGATAGAAAAAGAAGAGCAGCTGTTTCAGAGCTGGAATTACTTTAAATTCAAATCTGACACTTTTTCAAACACAATTTTCCATTTTAACACATTTACTGTGTTCCACTATGAATAATGTAATAAAAATCACAGATTTATGAAATTGGCCAAATATTACATTCTGTTTTGACATTTTTACTAAACATTTTAACGTTTTCAGAACTGGGTTTGTGTCAGAAAACAACACTCACTCTGGTAGTAATCAGGAGAAGAAAAGCGCCGTGAAGGAAAGATGAAGTCTGCGATGAACACCAGCAGCTAAAACAAGAAGACATTTAGAAGAGAACACACATTTATTTAAGTTAACAAAACAATCTGTAATTTAAACCAGAAAATGAGCCAGAAAATGACTTACTAGACCCAATGCAAGTCCTGCAAACAAGGTGACCAGACCGAAGATAACATATGAACCCCAGACAGGAATGCTCAGCTGCTCAGTCATGTAGTTATGACAACGCTGAAAACACATCATCGTCACACAAAATACTGTCAGATTCTTATATTTACCAACAACAGACATGACATTACTTTTATCAGACACAACAGCAGTTTACATTGGATTTTTTTCTGCTTATCTGTATTTCTAATAGGGCTGGGTGATATGATCTAAAATCAATATCACGATATATTGACCAGTTCACCTTGATAATGATAAATACACGATAACTCTTACCACACCACAAACAAGTACACAGTATAGTTTACTCATAACACTATACAATGTGTCCATGTTCTTAGCCAAAGTACACAGTTTAGTATTTTGAACAGCTTCTCTGTAGTTTATATTTGTGATTTTAATGTTTTTAATATATTCAATAAAAAATATTTTTTGCAAGACTTGAGTCAGATATAGTGAAACAAATATTTAACCATCTCCATAACTTCTCACTGCAAACACATTATAATTTTATATTTAAAAAATACAACAAACGTGTCTTTTGTACTGCACAAAGTAACTTAAATACATCTTATTTGTTAGACTGACTGATTTCTCTATTAAAATAATTATTGCTTTCAAAAATATTATATTATTTAGAGAGCTCATGTAATCCTTTAATACTATTTATTCTTCATATTTAATCATTTATTGAATCACAGCAGTTCAGTCACAGTATGGTATACGATATAGAGGCATATGACCTGCTAACTCCAAGTTCCTGTCAGACTGTTCTACAGTTATTATTAAAGATACCGCAGAGGTTTTATTTTGTTTCCTTCCCTCCAGTCACAGGGAGTGCTACTCATTTATGTATGATAGCAGATAACATTTTTACATGCATTATAAAACCCACAACATTTGTTTTTTTATACATTTTATCCAGTGAATATGATTGTGAATCATTACTCGTCTACCAGAGGAGAAACACCTGTCTGTCGTTTTACAGTAAAGCTGTTTTGAAACAAATATTTGCAACAAGCTATAAGAGTGGACATGTTGTTAGCAGGCTAGCTACAGATGCTAACAACCAGCTAATGAGACACTAACATCAGCTTATCATGCTCTGAGTTATTTTACAAAAAGCAGAACAAAGAAAAGAAGTGAATTAGGAAAACAAACCTCCAAATTATAAAGAAACTAAAAATAAATATGGTCTTCTAGCTGACATTATATTTCATTGTTACTATTTGTGATTAAATTCAAATCTGAACCTTGATCCAAATATATAATTATAATGTTGATCATTTATTGGTTTAAAATCTGAGTAAAGGAAAAAAGTGAAACAGATTTTAAACGATTTACTGACTACATCTTCACTCCAGTTTTCCATCTTTTATTTAGAATCTCTTCATTAAAATTAACTGGTATAATTATAGTATTATACCTATAAAKCATAATTATTAAGCAATATGTGATATTAATTAGGCTGCAAAAATGTTGGTAATTTGCATGTTTATTTTTAAATAAAAGTTAATTAATTTTGTGATGCAACTTTAACAGAACTCCAAAACAATAAACTCTGGGTTCCTACAGCTTAAAACAAGTTAAATTTAAGACTTTTTAAGACCTATTTAATGCTAATTGAAACTTATTTTAAGACCAACTTCACAAAAAAACAATACGAAAAAAGAAAAAAAAAAGAATACGATGAGATGAGTTGCATCAGTACAAAACCAGGAAAAAAAACTTAGCAACAATTTTACCCAAATGTTTACTTTATTAAAGCAAAATTCTGTTAACTTTAACTAAATAATTAAC